AATACTGTTAAATACTTAAACATACGCAGTACATATCTTGATTTCGATAAACTAACACTAGCAATGACTCAATTCTATACTAATGTCAAATCATGGATTACATATGTAATGTATAACATTAATGTCTAAAGATTAAAGAATGAAAATTATATTACTAAATAATGATAGACTTAATTAATTATAATAATTTATTTTTCGAATATTTAACTTTTATTAAACTTTTTAATTTACAAATTAATAAATAATAACATACATAATAATAATAAAAAATAAATATACATAACATAAATATAAATTATTTTATATGAAAAAAATTTGCAATAATTTTATTATAGATTACATACTTAAGTAATATATTAAATAATATATATATAATAATATTAAATAATGTATTAAAATGTCACATTATTATTAAATAATTATATTAAATGTTTCGAAAAATTATAATTATAAAATTATAATTTATAACTATATATATATTATAATTTTAGTTTGAAAAAAACTTATATAAATTTGAAAAAGAAAAATGTTTAAAAAATTGTTAAATGTTTAATTTGAGAAAAAGTTATAAAATTATATAATATATTATAAAATTGAAAAAGAAAAATATTTAAAAGATATTTTTTTTATTTATAAATTACAATATTTTTAATAATTTGTTAATTATTATTTCTTAATTTAATATAATTATGCATCATCTTTCTAATCGTACTGTTTTTATACATGGTCTTCCATATCTACGTTTAGCTTCATCAATAAAAGCATTTTCCATTTGTCTCACAATTTCATTAAAAAACAAATTTGACAAATGTGAATAAATAATCGATTTAAATTCAAATGATAAAGAAAAATCAATAACGCAGGTTTGAGCATTATTTTTTAATCCTGGACTGAAAAGCCATAATGTATTTAAGTGATTAAATAATCTACCATCTGAACATTCGGCTTTTACTAAATGTGGACGCATTGTCGTTACTATTGATGTATAACTTTCATTTATAGGTGGGAAACCTATTACCAAATTGGCTTTGAGCATATCATCACTTTTGAATATAACATCGGATTTTTTACAAAATGGGACAAACTCTTTATAATTTTGAACATCAGCTACAACACTATATATTTGATCCATTGAAAATCTGCGTTATAAACAATTTTTTTTAATATTTTTTACTCATTCATAAAAAATTATTCAATTTCAGACTCACCCTATTAATTTACGACCTTCATATTCTTTTGTTTTCATAATATCAGCCATATACATTCGTTCTATATATTGTTTATTAAAATTGCACTTATTTTGAAATATTGCGCTTTCAAATAATAAAATACGTCTGAAAATAGTATTACTTTTTTGATTTAAAATTCAATTACAAAGATTATTGAAATTCTTCGAATAAATAAATAATTCCATGGCATTAATTGAAATATTCATAGTATATTCATTAATTCATAAATTATATATATAAATTGTATGCTTCTTTTGTATAATTATATTTATATCATTAATTATATTATTAATGAAATTTTAAAATTATGATAAAAAATCTGATCAAATATATGATTTTTTTCAGTTTTTATAAAAATAAATTTACATAAAAATATTTAAAAGCGCCTTTAAATAAAAAATATATATTTGTTATTAGGTTATGTATTATGATAATTTTTATAATCAACTACAATATTGATTTTTTATTTTTAGAATATATTTAATATATATTGTGCAACAATAATAAGTTTATTTAAAATAATTTTAGAAAAATAATTTAATTTTTAAATATGATAAAGTAATAATGAAGGAATATGAAACATAACCTATACATATAAATAATATAAATTTATATTATTTATGTATACATATAGGAAATTTAAATAATTATAATCGAAAGAATATATTACCTATACATGATGACACAATTTAATAATTCCGTTTTATATAATATTAATAAAATTTATATATATATATATATATATATCATCTCTTTATATATCTATACGTAAACGTTGAGCATTATCAATTATTACAAATACATTTCGTTGTTTTAATTTTAAAACAATGCCTAAATTTAAAATATATTTAAATGCCTAAATTTTAATTAAGGTACTTATATTAAAAAATATGAACAAACTTTTTTAAAATATTTATAACGTAGAAGCATACATAGCAGAACAATTATAGATTTATTTAAAAATAATAAAATATGTTTATAATTAAAAATTAAAATAGTATATAAAATGTATAATATTTTACATAATAAGATAAATTTATATTTCAATTAATGTATCAATTATTGAAAAAATATTAATTGTATAATGTAAATATTATTTAATAAATAGAAAAACTTATTTATTAAATAAATTACAAATAATTATTTTAAATAACTCATTCATACGTTATTAATATTAATATAGAATTTGACAGTGGTTCAAAAAGCAAATTCTACGTAAGCAAAGATTACAATTAGATTGGTACATCCTCACGTGTATAACTTACATAACATAGGTACTGCAAATGTCTTCATCTTGATTCATTTTTAAAAAATGGCTGGCATCGCACCACAAGCTTGCAGAAATGTATTTCGGCAAGTAAGTATTATAAAAAATCGAAACTTTGATAATTAAAAAATTATTTTTTTTTAGAATTATTTGTTAATTTCACATTTTAAAATATTGTATAAATCTATAATGATATCTAATTTTAATCTATTCTATTACTAATATCAATTCAATTGTTTTTCGTTTATATATTTTGACATTTTAACAATTAATTAAAACAATGATTAATTGAACAATGCCCCTTAATATTTTTATTTTGAACGTTACTTTTTTTTCTTTACTATTATATATAATTGTATAAGTTATAAATATATAAAAATAGTTTTGTATTTTATTGACAAATAATTTATTCAATTGAATTAATTAAATATATCATTATAATGTATTTGTATAATATATATCAATTTAATTAAATATATTACTATATCTTTAAGAAAATTGTTGTATTTTAATATAGTTTATAATAAACAATAAAACATTAAATATTTAATCTACATATATATCTAATTAAATTTTAAATTCTTTGTACATAATTTATATTAGTCAATTTATTTGAGTTCATTTTTATATTAGTTATTTATTGATTTAGGTTAGAGGATTTCATATATCTGCAAATCAAAATGCGTCTGAAGTTAAATTAAAAAGCTTTGCTGTATATCGTTGGAACCCAGACAAACCTGATGAAAAACCATATATGCAAGAATATAAAGTTGATCTAAATACGTAAGTTTATTTTAAAAGTTATTTTTAAAATTTTTTTAATAATTTTTCAATAAGTTTTTATTATTTTAAATTTATTTAATTTAAAAATTTTATTATAGTTGTGGTCCTATGGTTTTGGATGCATTGATTAAAATTAAGAATGAAATTGATCCAACTTTAACTTTTCGTCGTTCTTGTCGTGAAGGCATTTGTGGTTCCTGTGCTATGAATATTGGTGGTACAAACACATTAGCATGTATAAGGTATATTTCAATTAATTTCATGAAGTCAGAGAGTTGTTATGTTAAAATATAAATCATTATTATTTTAGCAAAATTGATACTAATTTAAATTCAACTAGTAAAATTTATCCATTACCACATATGTATATAGTAAAAGATTTAGTGCCCGACTTAAATAACTTTTATAATCAATATAAAAGTATACAACCATGGTTGCAACGTGGTGATGCAAAGGAGACTGGTGCAAAGCAATATTTACAAAGTGTTGAAGATCGTAAAAAATTGGTAACTAAATATTATAATTATTAAAATTAATAAAATTTATATTTCTTATTTTCCTGCTATAATAAAATTGTATCAACAATGTAGTAATAATATAATAATGTATCTCTTTATAATATAGGATGGTCTCTATGAATGTATTTTATGTGCTTGCTGCAGTACTTCTTGTCCATCATATTGGTGGAATGGTGATAAATATTTAGGACCTGCTGTACTTATGCAGGCTTACAGATGGATTATTGATTCGCGTGATAGCAAAGCAAAGGAACGTCTTGCAAAATTACGAGATCCATATTCAGTATATCGTTGTCATACAATTATGAATTGTACTCGTACTTGTCCAAAAGTAAGTATAGTATTTAAATAATTTGAAAAATCTAATTTTTTTCTCAATTAAAAATTAATATTTTTCTTTTAATAGGGCTTGAATCCTGGAAAGGCAATTGCAGAATAAAAAAATTGTTATCTAATATCAGTCAAAAACAAAAACCTGATCTTGAAACTGCTGTATAAATAAAAGAAAAAAATCAAGGTAGTCATACGTATTTTTTGTTCATTATGATTACATACAAACTTATAATTAATTAAATAGAAACAAATAAATAGTTATCTAAATTATTTAATAAAATAATGGAATCAAATCTTCTATAAATATCGAATGTTTTACTATAAATAAAGTTCAAATTCCTTTTAATATATTTCAATTAATAACTTTATATACATTCATATGATGTAAAATCCATTAATGGAATATATTCAATTTTATGTTACATCATTTTATGTCATGTTTTATATCTTTGTTCTTTATATCTTTCTAATAATTAAACATTATTGCTAAAATGAATTTATTAATTAGACATTAATTAGACATTAATTAATTTTATGATGAATAAGATTATTCGGATATGTAATTTTACTTTTTTAATACTAAAGACAAAGATATATTAATCTTAATATTATATCTAAGTAATCATTCAATCATTATCATAAAAAATATATACACATATAATACTAGAAACTTATATATTATAATAATCATAAAACTATATTATAATAAATCGTGTAATAGTACGATATGTTGGAAATTAAGGACCTAAATATTTTAATTTAATTTATGCATGATACTTATAATTGAAAATTCTAAAATCGTTCAAAATTTTTTAAAATTACATGTTCATCAGAATAAAATTTAAGGCTCGGCAGCCATTCTATTTCTTGCTGTTTCTCTTGATCTATTATGTACTTCTGCCGTTCTTAAAGTGATACCAAATATATCTTCATGATAACGATTTTCATCCTAAAAACATGTAAAATATTATATTATGTAAGAAATTAAAATATATATTTAATAATAAATTAATAATAATTATGATATAACTTACACGTAATGATAACATATATGCTTCAACTTGTTTATCTGTCATTTCACCATGAGTTTGTATAATATGTTTTAAAGTTTGATAAACGTCTTCTGCCATTGTACAATCACCACAAACGTAAAAATGACCTCCTTCATACACTAACATATCATAAATTTGTGAAGCTTCCGCTTGAATTAAATCTTGTACATATGTCTGTTAAAATTAATATATATATATATATATGTGTGTGTGTGTGTGTGTGTGTATAATAATATTTCAAGTATAACAAAGTGATATAAATTATTTAAAAAACATTTTGAGTTTATAACCTTTTTGAAACCAGGTTCTCGTGAAAGAGCTAAGAAGATTTTATCTAAAACGCCAAGTTCTACCATTTCTTCTTTCTCTTGTCTATATAGATCTAAATTTCTTTGACGACAACCAAAAAATAACCAGACTTTTCCATATTCGAGATCTATAAATTTTATTGAAATGATTATAATTAATATCATAGATTTATTCTAATAAATCACAGAATATAGTATATAGCAGATTATACCTGGTCGGCGCTTTATTTCTGCGAGACGGTGATGCCAAAAACCACGAAATGGAGCAATTCCTGTTCCTGGTCCGACTAATATCATCGGTGCTTTTGATTCGGATGGCATATAAAAGTTAGGTGCACTAAATAAAATAAATAAAAGAAAATCTAAAAAATTTTGTATATATCGAATTATTAAAATTTAATTTTAAAAACAAAAACTTACCTACGTACAAATACATATAGAGGTTCTCCGTCTGATATCTCACGTAAATAATTGGAACAAACTCCATAATGGATTGGTCCAAAACCATCTAATTTTTTAAAAATCATTTTATTTTTAAATAATTATCTTTTTATAATTCAAAAGTATATTATATAATTTAAAATTAAGAATTACCTTGTGTTTTGTATTGTACAACAGCAACAGTAAGATGTATTTGTCCTTGATGTACATCCGGAGACGAAGATATACTATAAAATCTTGGTTGCAAAGGAGTTAAATGAAGTAATAATAATGGTGCAAAAGGTCTTACAGATGGAAATTCATGCAATACTTCTACTAAATTAGGAAATTTCCAGTGTCTCCAATCCTCATAAACAGCTGGATCCTTTTTAAAAAAAAATTTTAAAATTTCATATTTTTTCAGTAATTTTCAACAGTCATAATTAATTTTTTAATATATATTTAATTAAAATTAAGTTGAAAATTAATTAAAATTAATTAATTAATTAAATATTTACAGAAGCTAAAAGATTGAGTTGAGCTTGTTCTTTTGGATTTGTAGCAATGGACGCAAAGTATCTAAGAAGGTTCGGTGTTGGTGGTGTAGTGATATCTAAAAATCTTTTTAATAATATTCTTAAGGAATTGGGTAGATATCTATCATGTGCTATCCATGTTTTTACGATTCCTATATACAAAAAATAAAATTATAATAAAAAATAAATTCAATAATAATAATAACAATTTCAATAATATATATATATAAACAAACCATTAGGAGTATGAGATTGCTTCTGTATTTGTAATTCAATTGGTACGTCTGGATCAAAAGGAGTTTGTACTCGTTTTAAAATTGCCTCTACTAATTCTGATCTATTACATGCAAAAACTCCCAAATGATCACCAGGTTTATATAATATTTCCATACTTGTTATATCATCGAGTTCTAAGAGTAACGTAGTTCCACTATAAAAGATAAAAATATAAAGTTAGATTTATTATATTATTATCATGAAACTATTATTTATTTACAATTTTCATATTACCTCGATGAATCACCGCTTAAATTTGTTTTTCGAAACATATTACAAGTAGTTACGTTTCTATTATGACATTTGCTTAAAGCTGAAATATTGCAATATAAAAATAAAAATGTAATTAATAACTATGGATAATATACCTTTGCCAATTGGTTGGGGTTCAGCTTCTATAAAACGAACAGTTGCTGCCGATAAAGCTTCTGATCCTAAAGATAAGGCAACTTCAAGCAAAGTATCATCATCATCTAAACAAAAAGTTTCACATGCAACCTGAAAATTACAAGAAATATTAAAAAATTTTTTTATAATAAATATGGATAATTACAGATAAAATACGAACAGCGAAAGTATCGGCTGCCCATTTTCGAAAAGCCTGTTCTTGTCCACACATTTCATCTCCTTGTGCTAATTTTAACAATCGTTCTCCACCTAATTCACCTAATAAATTATCCACATAACGACCAAATGCACAAAAATTTGGATATGCTGATGATCCCAATGCAAAAACAGCAAATCTGAAGAAAGGAATTAAAGATTTTATTTCATATTTATAAATTGATTATAAATAAATATATTCAATAACATACCTAACATTGCTCAAAGGACCAAAAGTATCTTCTGTTTGAGAATCTGTGGTTGAACCCCGAAGAGAATCCAATCTATCCAGTTTTTTTGAATTGCTTACTTCTGTTTGACTATTTGCTTTAATAAATGATTTTGAAGTTGCCAAACTATAATTACAATTCAAATAATTATAATATAATTTATGAATTTTATTATATTAAAATTATAATACCTTATCTTATTGCCACTATTAATGTACGTTTCATTCATTTTCATTGCATATAAATTTTGTGCGAAAGCCTAAAAAATAAAATTTATATAAAACTATAATTTAAGTTTTAAATAATTAAAATAAAAAATAATAAATTTACTTCGCCATTTTCTGGAGGATCACCATTTCCAAAAGTAGATGTTATAACTAATAATAAAGCTTCGTGTTCTATATTACTAATATCATAATCTGACATGGAAAGTACCTAAAATTAAAAGTTTCAAATATTTTTCATTATTTTTTAAAGATTGATTAATGGAATTTAAAATTCCTATAACATTTAAACATATTTAATTATATAATTAAATAATTAAATACCTGCGAATGAAAAGCGTGTCCTAATAATTCGCTAAGTTTTTCAGCATACATTTGTGATGTACCAGTTTCCGTGGCAAATAATACTGTAGCTTTTATTCTTCGAGATAAAGCTCTCCCAAATAGCTTAGATGTAAATTTTACTGCTCTAAAATTAAATTATCAATTAATGTGATTTTGTAAATTTTGTAAATTTATTTTTCTTTCTTTTTATACATATGATGACTTACCTTGCAATTTGCTTAAAATGAAATTTTCGTCTTGGCTTTTTCGAAGTTGATTTCTTATCACGACCTTTTTTCCAAACATGTGTTTTCCAAGCAGGTTCCTATAATAATTATACATAAAATAATTATACAAAAAATGGATATAATAGATATAATAAATATGTAATAAATTTTTATTATATCTATTATATATAATTTATTTATAAGAACCTGAGCATCATATGATGGCTTTAAATAATAAAGAGCCATTTCTTGATGGAATACAGGTGTAGCTGATCCTGATATCGGTGGTACTATCCATAGCCAATCAGCTGGACATCCATTTCTTAATCGCATTTCATTTTCATAATGTTTCATAAAAGATTCTGAAGCTGTATGGTGATCTACAATTGTTACATTTTTCATCTAAAAAAAATTTCAAAAGTTTGTTATTATTCTTTATAAAAAATATTTAAATAAAGATATTTCATTCTCGTATATACCTGAAAACTATGCAAAACAGCGACATTAGCTTCTATCATAGCCTTGTCTTTCCATAACGAAGTAGATGTTCTTGTATCTAATCCCATATGAGTTGCAATTGTCTAAAAATAAAATTTATTTTAATATATTTATTTTTTTCATAATTAATATTAAAATTGTATGAAAATATACCTCTAATAAATTGTACCGTTGAACATCGCATAAATCTCTCGATCCAATTTCAGTACTCATATACCATCCATTGAATGGTGCGGCTGTAAATTCTAATCCTCCGCAATCAAATACCATTCCAGATACAGCAGGAACTGCGAACCATTTTAATTCTAACTTTTCAAACCAATCATATCTACGATAAATAAATAAAAATTAATGAATGGTAAAAATACATAACGAACAGAAATACTTACGTTGGATGACTAAGTGGTACTTCTAAAACAAGTTCATTTGGAATGTCGAAATAATCAGGATCATGACCATTTGCCGATAATATTAATGGTAATATGTCAAAACGAGTACGTGCACTTTTCCAACCTAATTTCATACATAGCTGTGAAAACAATAGATTGCGTAATAATTTTGAATTAAAAGTAAGAAATGATTAAAAAGAATTATTTTACCTCAGTGAATTCAATATTTGCAGGATCGCCAATTATCGTACCATCCGGATTTTTATATCCTGCGTAACTTATTAATTGATGATTCCACACTCTATAATCATGTTTTCCATCCGTACGTTGCGGAAATATTGTTATTGCAGATCTGAAAATCAAATAAAATAAAAACATTATACAATATAATGATATTGAATAATGAAAATATTTTTATTATTAATTACCTAATATTTCCTTTGTTTGTGCTATATTTAATATGATTGCATAAAGCTTCAAACATGCCGCTAGTTGTCGTGACATAACGGCAATCAAATACCTATAATTGAAGATTATAAACTTGAAGAATGATATTTAATTTTACATGTGAACTGGAAAGAAAAGAGAAGTAATCGAGATTTGCTTTTAGATAATTGTAATATTTTTATTTATTCATTTTTATTTTTATATTAATAAAAAAATATTAAAGTATATAGTAAGAAAAAAATATGAATATATTTTTAATTTTTTTAATTTAGATTTTCAGAGTCAGACTTTTATAATATACATACTTTAATATATTATAAGTTTAAATTAATACATACCTGTAATTTAGACCATTGAATACGACCAATGCATCTTGTGGCATTGCGCCATGCTATCTTCGCTCCAAAAACTAATTCTGTTTCAGTTAATTGATAAGTACCAGTAATTATGACTTCTTTTTGTACACTTTCCCAACGAATACGATGTGCTTCACTATTTAATCTATTTTTTAAAAAAATAATAATATTTAATAGAAAATAATAAAAATATGTTTAGTTATGTTTAAAAATACGTTTTAAAAAATTTTTACCTTCTAATAGAAGAAAAGTATTGTTCGAGGAAATCTTTCGCATGTACAAGAATTTCTTCTTTTGATCGGGGCTCTGTACCATGAATCGGTAGCTGCATAACGCTACCAAGACATACTTGACCAGAGCACAATGTTTTCTAATGAAAAGATAAGATTAAGATAAAATTAATATAGTATTTTGGAATTTCACAAAATTTTATATCTAATTATATCTTCTTAATTATCTTAAAATTTTTTTTATAATAATATTTCATTTATTTAAATAAAATAAAACTTAACTTAACATGTTACTAATTATAATAACATTCAAATTAGAACATCATTATTACTACACTAATCAAAATATAGACATATATTTAAATTATTTTAACTTTTAATGAGATATTTAATTTTATAAAAGATTATAATATAAATTGAAATACAAATAAAAATATTATTTCTTTCATTCTAACTATACATTTCCTTCAATTATTTTAAAATTCATTATTCCAATTATTTAAAAAAATATGTATATTATATATATATGCATCATACAATTAATGTCACCGAAACGAATTCTTGTTTTTCGATAATAGACTTATTCTATTAAAAATTTTCCTATATTCACAGTTTTATTCAAACTATGCTATTCAATATTCAATAATATACAATATCAAACATTAAAATTTTTAGATAAAAATTTCTATGTATATAAAATATATAAAGCAATAAAAATTAAAAATAAAAAATAAAAAATAAATCGAAAAAAAGCAAAAAAGCAAAAATTTCAAAAATTTCTTTCATTACTTCTGCATTTCCAGCGTGCAAAGAATCAAAAGCTTCAGTCTTGTAAATGAGATTTCGCAGTTTCGTTGGTTTCTTTTGACAGGTTCCTGTTGCCTCGTGCTCCTTCATTTTAATATTCTAATTCTTTTCTTATAGATAAAACTGGTCTGTCACCTGTTACCGTTCCGCTTGTACGTTAGGTTGTCACGATACGCGTACACTGCTTAACTCTCTTTTGTGAGCATCCCCATGAGAAGGGAGGGACTATCTGACTCCTTCCTACTGATACTCCAGACTCCGCGAGTTGTCACATGCGCTATGAAGCTGCGCCATTGATTTACTGCGCCGATATGTTTCAATAAATACTTGAATATGACATATATTTTTCGATATTTTATTATATCATGTTATAAAAAATATTTGATATTATTTCATTAAATAATTTTGAAATTGAATTCTATTGATTATAACAATAGAAAAGAATAAGATTCTTTTAAGCAATTTGTAAATAATATTATATGGATCATAAAGATGCGCGATCGATTTAGCGCGCCATAGTTCGGCCATTGTTTTCATATATCGTAAATATTTTATCGATATATCAACTGTAATGTACTCGTTCGATAAATAATTAAAAAAGATACAAAAATAGCTATATGGAAAAAAATTTCATTTACAATTATAGAAAACGTTATTTAAAAGAAAATATTTTTAAAAGTTTTTTTTCATCAAAAATATAACCAAATTTTATGTTTTCGCTATATTGCAATTATAATGAATACTAATATTTCACGTAGTATTTATTAATGTGTAAGATATTAATACAAATATTTATATTTATTTACGTAGTAGTAAAATTCGAAAATAATAAAAAAAAATTATGACATTTGTATTATTTAAAGACGGTTCTTTAATATTATATTATTTTTTTTTATTTATTATCCAAAAAAATTGATCAAATTTTATACGATTATTTTATTTAGAAATAATTTTATTTAAAAAATATTTATTTTAATATAAATTAACAATTATTATAATAATTCTCATCGTACGAATTTTATTGTTAATGCTTAAAGTTTAGTATACTATTAATTAATTTTTGTCTATTTTGATTTGTTTAGATTATAAACACAGAAAATAACACGCAAAAATGCAACAAGAAGAAAATTGTAGACTTGAATTTGTATCCCGCAGTATAAAAAATAGTCCGGAAAAATTGCAAAAAACGCCCCGAGTTAGTGATAAGTTTTATTAACTTACATTTTGATTCATAAATAATAATAAAATCATAATTATTCTATAGAATTTGATAGAAAAGATATAATGTCACAAGAAGTCAAACGTAAAATTCATTATACTCCTCAGAATAGTCCGAATAAGTATTCAAAAACTCCTCAAAGTAATGGTATAATATTTAAATGGTATAATATTTCCTGATGCTATATAAAAAATAAAATAAATTATTTTATATAAAATATATCATCTTAGAATCACTTAAAAAGGATGCGAAATCACAATCAGAAAGTAACAAGCGAAAAATTCAACCATTTCGTAATGAAAATCTGGAAAAAATTCAGAAAATTTGTCCAAGTGGAAAATTTGTTAATACTTTAATAGGACAATGGTCTAAACATATGGGTATTCAAACACCACTGTCCGAAACAGGAATAGTATATAATTTTTACTCTATTAGAAAGTTGTTATCAAAAAGTATTAAATAAAGTTTTTTTTATTAAATAAATAATAAATAAATAGATACGAGAAAATTTAATTACGGAAGAAATGAAACAGATGCATGTAATTGAAGAACGAAAAATTCAAAAGTTGCAAAAGAAGCTTCAGATCGCTGAAGAAACTATATCTTCACTTTCTACTTCTCATGAGGCTGAATTACGAGCTAAAGAGGAGATTTTACAACAGTATACTTACTATGTATTGTTTAGACATTTATTGCAGTTAAAAATTGATAGTGAAGACAATATTAATTTTCTTCTCTAGATTGAATAGCGATTGGGAATCAATTACTAAGTATTATTATGAAATATCAGAGAGTTTAAAAGGATTTCAACAACATAAGGATAATCTATCGAAATTATATAATGAAATCAGCGTTGTCCAACAATCTACGATGAAAAAGTTACAACAAGAATTATGTATTATGAAATTAAAAGGTTAATATTATATAAATTTTATTATAAACTTTGTTTGCATTTTTAACTTTGATCAAAATATTTTTTTATAGATGATGAGCAAAGAAATATTGTTAATACAATGGAAAACAAAGTAATAAATCAAGAGAGAAGGTATTTATGAAATATTTTTTCTTAAACATACAAATTATTCATTGAAAAATAAGTAATAAAAAATTTATGTTTCATTTATTATTAGAATACATGAAATGATGAATATTGAAAACGAATTAAAAAAACAATTCGAAGAACTGAAAAATAATTCAGTTTTAGAGAAAAATCATTTACATAATGTTTATACAGAAGAAAAATTAGAATTAATAAAGGTTACAACTATATTATTTTTAGACTTTATTTATTTTTTTTTTTTTAACTTTAATTTTTCTATTTTAAGTAAAAAGACGTGTATAATCTTGTTTCTTTGAAAATAAAAAAAAAATATATTATCTACATTATCGTCACACGTTGTTATCATGGATAAACATGTAAAATATTATAAACAATTACGATTTCAGAAGCAAGAAAATCTCACGTCGATGAATCAAGAACTACAAATGCAATTACAGAAGATTACGGAAGAGAAACAAAACTTAACTATCTTGTTTGCTGAAAAAGATGATGAAATAATAAAATTGCAAGGAGAAATTGTTACATGCAAGTAAATATTTTTGTATGTGTAAATGAAACATTCTTGTGTTTTATGTTAATTCATTGATTTTGTGGCAGAAATAAAATCGAGAATTTGTTATGTCATAATACTGAATTAAGTGCAAAATATGAAAAATCTATAGATAAGGAAGAAAAATTATCAAAAGAAATACAAACGAAAACACAGGAAGTATATAATAATATATTATAATTTATTTATTATAAATAAAATTTATATATATTTTATAAATTTATTTATTATAATAAAATTAATTTAA